ATCCTCCTGTATATGTTAAATTCAAAAGTTTAAATAATCTCTAGGTAATAAGTAATATGATGTAAATGCTATGTAAAAAGTTGTCATACGATGTTGTTCTAGGACTAACAGTAAGAAAAATGAGAGGGTCAACTAAAACGGTATTTTCTAGGAATAACATATGAAGGGAGATAAAGAAATCTCACAGAAGGGTCAGCCTGGGGTGCCAGAATCAAGATGCAGCATTGTTAGCATTAATGGAGATGAGGGAAGCAACTTTTTAGCTGGCTACTGTTTGGGGTTTGGGTGAACAAGAGACAGATAACCAGTATTTTTCCCCTGAAAATCTGCTAATAGAGACCTTTCATATTTAACATTTTGGGTGAATTGATAGACCAATGTTCATTTTTAGTATTTCAGAAGATTTCCAAACGACTGTATACAACGGTTAGAAAATTGGGTCTAGCTAAGAGTTATGGTGCACACTTGTGTGCACTCAGGAGGCAAGAGGACTAGGAGTTTGAGGACAGCCTGGGCTACATGGTAAAAATCTCATCTCAAAGACAAAACAACACACATACACACACAGAAAAAGAAAAACAAAACAAAAACCCAGGCTGGTGAGACTGCTCAGTTTGTTGGCAAACCTGAGGATTTGAGTTCAATCCCTGGAACCCACATAAATGTGGAAGAGTAAAACCAAACCCCAACATTGTCCTGACCTTCATATGAGGACAGCAAGCAGCACAGCGTGTGTGCTCATACACATATGATGTACACACACTAATAATAAGGAAAATAGTCAACTGAGGGCAAATAGCCAACCTGTCTGAACAATAACAGCAGCAATACATGTTTCAAAAGAAAAGGAAGAAAAAATAAAATTGGGTCTGAGGACAGGTCAGAACGGAATGTTTGAGGACAGTGTGTGTTGCTGTGTAACAATCACAGATAAAGGGGTGCAGAGGAGCTCGGGAGGAGACGCAGTCCCTGACAACCATGTTGAAGAAATGGAAGGAAGCATGGGCGTGCACATTTTAGTTTTTTATTACCACATATAATTATAAATTAAGGGCTTCACTATAGCATTTTCATCCATGTGTATAATGTATTTTGATCTATCCACCCACCACTACCCTACCCTCTCTTGTCCTCCTCCTACTGCTTTCTTTTCTCAACTAGTCTTTTTTTTTAAAATAGTGTTTCTAGTCCAGGTTGGCCTTGAACTCTCTATGTAGCCTAGAATGACCTTGAACTTCTTCTGATCCTCTGCCCCTACCTCTTCAGTGCTGGGATTACAGGTGTCTGATTCCATTCTCAAATTATAACTTCAAGAATGCTAGGCAAGCTCTCTACCAATTGAACCTCACCCCCACCCTCTCTCCCATTTCTACTTTCATGTCTTCATTCTTTTGTGGACTAGTTTCTTTAGTGTTGCTTACAGAAGTATGGGTGGGGGGCTATTTACAAGGAGCACGGGCACCTTACTAGTGGCTCACCAGTGAAGAAAATGTCTCTCCCTACCTCAGTAACCATTAACTGCTTGTAACTCAGGGAGTGGTGGGGCCTTGTGAACATCTCTCTTTGCAGAGCCTCATGTAGCCCAGGCTGCCTTGAATTTGGTATGTAGTTGAGACTGGCCATAACTTTTGCTTTTTCTGCCTCCACCTCCTGAGTGTAGGGATTACAGGCCTGTGCCAGCACACCTAGTTTTTGTGGTGTTGAGGACTGAATCTAGGGCTTTGTGCAGGATAGAAAAGCACTCTACCAAGTGGATTACACTCTGTGCTCCTACTACGTTAAGGCACTTCCAGGGGAGAAAATGTGTTGTAGTTACTACTGATGATAAACTGTCACTATGAAATAAACTTTCTTTCCTCCCCACTCCTCAAAAATAATAAGAGACCCAAAAACCCCATTTTACCTAATAGAGCTAGGATTCCAGAATAGCTGTGGGCATGCATGTGACTATTCTACATAGGCTCTATTTATAATTGTGCCTTTGTGTTTTACATGTATTTACTTGATATTTTTGGAGATGGAATCCTGGGCTTCATACATGCTTGGCAAGAGCTTTACCACTGAGCTACATCTGCACCCCAATTTTCAGTTCTTAACAAGTTTATACTTATGAAAAGAAAGCTGGAAGGTCAGTAAAAAGTCCTGAGCCAGTGAGATAGCTTGGGAGGTCAAAAGTGCTGCACAAGCCTACTGACTTTGAGTTCAATCCCTGGAACCCACAGTGGAAGGAGAACCAACTCCTGAAAGTTGTCCTCTGACCCCCACACACTTGAGTGCACACACACACACACGCACACACACACTACTGCTACCATTACTTTAATAAAAAAGTATTCATAGCCAGGCATGGCGGTGCATGCTTTCAGTATCAGCAGAGGCAGAGGCAGGTGTATTTCTGTGAGCTCAAGGCCAGCCTGGTTTACATAGTGAGTTCCAGGCCAGCTGGGACTACAGGAGACGGTGTTTTAAGAAGATCAAGGAGGAAAAAAAAAAAATCATCCCTTGGAACCTCTTCCACTCTGAGAGTTCATTCTCACTTTGTCCTTACTAAATCTGTGTTCACCTGGTAAAAAGGGAAAAAACAAAAATCCCCAAAAACCTTCAACCCATTTTTCCCAGTTAATATGCATCACGTTTACTTTATCATTTTTTCCTCAAACACATAATCATTACAGACAGCTTTCGCCTTCATTTTTAAATTCTTCAAAACAGTCTTATAACTACTACTACATGTGCAAAGCCAGGAAATTTAACATTGAGCCAATGTTCTTGTCTAATATGCAATCCACAGTCAAATCACACCAAATGTTCCAATGACATATTTATATATTTTTGAGATAAGTAGGGCTTGGTGGTGCACGGCTTTAATTCTGCCACTCGGGAGACAGACCAGCGGCTCTGTCAGCTCAGTCTACACAGTGGGTTCTAGGTTACCCAGGGCTGCAAAGTGATTATGTCTCACCCAACGCACCTCAAACCAACTAACCAACCAACCCCAAACCAAAAAAACCGGAGTGGGGGAGTGGGAGGGTGGTGGGGAAGGTCCAGGCTAGCTGGGGCTGCAGGGAGACCCTGTCTCAACTTACCGCTCCCCCCTCCCCCCTCCCCCCAATCCCAAACAAACCCAAAACAAAATCCCCCAAAGACCCTGAGGCCCTAAACAGTGGGGACCTAACCTCGGAAGCCAGGGAAGCCGCTACCAACGAGAGGGCGGGATCACAGCAGCGCGTGCTGCCTGCTTCCGGTCACGTGTGCACCCTAGCCAACGGTAAAGCTTTACGTCACTCCCGCTTCCTCACCCTGGCAACGGGCGAGTCCTGACAACGGACTACTTCCAGTGGGTACTTCCAGTGCCGTGAGGGCTCTGCGGTGGCGCGGGTGAGTGTCCCTCGTCCTCACGTTGTCCGCGTCGCCGCCGCCGAGCAACGGTCTCCCTGTGTCCCCGCCGGCCGCAGCGGCCTCTCCCGAGCGCGGTGGGATGGCGCGCAGGGCGTCATCTGTCCGGCCCGGCGGAGGGGCCCACAGCGTCCCTGGCCCCAATCTCGGTCGCGCGAGGGGCCGTGGCTGGTCCTCTTCCCAGCCTCGGCTCCTGGGCGGCCCCAGCGCCCCTTTGGGGAGCTCCGCGCTGTGCAGTCGCCGGCTGTCCGCAGACGTGCGTCCTAGTCCCGGGCGGGCGTCGCAGTGGGGTCGCCTAGGGTAAGGGAGGCCTGGTCAGAGTCCTGCGGGACAGGCGCGTCTGCTGCCCTGGACCCAGGAGAGGAAGCGGCTGCGGAGGCGGGCGACCAGCTAGCTGCAGCTGTCTTGGAAGTAGAGGGCATGGTGTCCTGGAAGGAGGGACTTCTTGACAGATCCTGCTGGGGTGTGGAAGGAAAGCTGTACTGGGGCCACGTGACTAGGACCTTTGAAAAAAGAGCTCAGCGAGTTTTGCTTATACACTTGGGAGTTAACTGATTTTTCTCTTTGTTGTAAATAAAGCCTTTTCTTCTCACTGCCTCAAAAGCAGCGATTAGAGAACATCTGGGGAATGCAGAAAGAGTTAAGGAGATTACCTATTGTTGCTCCAACCCAAGATTTTGATCTTTAGGATTTCTTAGGCACTTTCAGCTATTTAGGTTCGTAGAGTTACAACTAAAAAGTGCAGTTTGTGTATGCTGCATCCATTATATGAATGGATTAGTGCTTTCCCCCCCTTATTCAGATGTAATTCACACAGTACAAAAGCTATACTTTTAAATTGTATCTTTCTGTGTTTCTTTAGTATTTTCAAAAACGTGTGTGTGTATATATGTATATATACATATATATATTACAGCTGTCTAGTTCTAGAACATTTTTACCACCTTCCCCTGAAATCCTGTACCCATTACAGTTACTTCCTGTCTTCCTCCCTCCTGCTCTCCCTTGTGTTCCCCTCCCCTTCCCCCAACTCTGATCCACAGTTCAGTTATTTATGGATTTCCCTGTTTGGGACATTTCAAGTAAATGGAATTATATTACAGGGTTCTGTTGTGTCTTACCTCTTTTAGTTAGCATAATGTTTTCAAGGTTCATGACTATGTCAAGGTTCACGGTTGTATAACAATACATTATTTCTTTTTTTTTTGTTCCCTGTGGTTCTGGGGATGAGCCTCACACTGCATTTTGTTTATCCATCATTAGTTGATGGATACTTGGAGTGTTTCCTCCTTTTGGCTATTTGGGATAATCCTGTACACAGCCTGTATGAGTTTTTGTATGGATATATGATTATAGGTTTTTATGGATATGTACTTTGAAATGGAACTGCTGGGTCCCATGTTTTGAGAAATGGACAAATACTTTCCAAAGTGGCTGCACTATATTGAGTTCCTTCAAACAGATAATGAAGATGTGCTTTTCCAAATCCTGGGGAGCACCTGTTATTTTGTTTATAGCCATCTTTGTGGTGCTTATGAAACGGCATCTCATTTTTTAAAATTTATTTTTGGTTGTTTTGAGATGGTCTCCCTGTAGCCCCAGCTGGCCTGGAACTCGCTATGTAGACTGGGCTAGCCTCAAACTTGCAGAGATCTGCCTGCCTCTGCCTCCCGAGTGCTGATATTAAAGGCATGCACCACCATACCTTGCTCATTTGGATTTTTATGGTTAATAATCTTAAACATCTTTACATGTACTTATTGGTCCTTTTTTAGTTTTGGAGAAATGTCTATTTAATTTCTTTGTGTAGTTAAAAAGTATTTTATTATTTTTTATTTCATGTGTATGAGTGTATTGCTTGCATATAAGGGCACCCACGTTGTGCAGTGCCTGAGGAGGTCAGAAGAGGGCGTCGGATCCCCTGGAACTGGAGTTTCAGACAGTTGTTAGCTACCATGAGGGTGCTGGGAATTGAACCCCAGTCTGCAAGAGCAGCTAGTGCTCCTGACCAATGAACCATCTCTCCAGCCCCCTTTTTTTTGTTTTTTTTGAGACAGGGTCTTATTGTGGACTGGAACTTGCTATGCAGATGAGGCTGGTCTTGAACTTCTGATCTAAGAAGCAATTGTTAAATCCAGAGTCACGGATATTTAACCCTATCTAACCCCTTACAACTTCTACAAGTTTTTATAGTTTTAATCCTTGTTTTTGATGGACTTAATTTTGGTATGTAGTATGAGGCTTGCCTTGTGGCTGTCTTAATTTTTCAACACCATTTGTTGAAAATTCTCTCTCCCACTTAGCTCAGGCATGCTTGTTAAAAATCCATTGACTGCCCCAGAAAAAGGGGGAAAAAATCAGTTGACTATAAATACTGCTATTGTTTTAACTATATCTCTCTGTTAGACTCTTAGGCTGCACCTATTTTTTTTTTTTTTTTTTTTTTTTTGAGCCAGGCTTTCAAAAAACTTGCTCTATAGATCAAACTGGATTTGAGTTCACAGAAATCCTCTTACCTCTGCCTCCCAAGTGCTGAGACTAAGGCATGCACCACCAATGGCTGGCCTTGCGCCTATATTTTTAAAATTCTACATTGTCCTATGTTAAATGTAGCACAAAAGACACAAAGCCAGCCAGGCGTAGTGAACAGGCCTGTAGTTCTAGTACTTGGGAAGTGGAGCAAGGAGAATCAGGATATGAGGCCAGCCTGGGTTACATGACATCCTGTCTCAAAAAAAAAAGAAAAAAAAAACCAAACCCCAAAAAGCCAAAACAGCTAGAGAAAAAGACATGAAGTCTTTTCTGTACTTTAAGATTTTTGGTAGAGGGGCTGGAGAGATGGCTCAGCAGTTAAGAGCACTGACTGCTCTTGTAGAGGACCCAGGTTCGATTCCCAGCACCCACATGGCAGCTACGAACCATCCTTATCCAGTTCCAGGGGAATCCAAAGCTCTCTTCTGACCTGTTGCATGCCGATCACTTGTCTGAAGAACCTCAGAAATAGTGGTTTTCATACTAACTGACAGCTATTTGAAGAAGTGTTATTTTATTTCTTGGTTTCGACATATGCTTTTGTTGGCATTGATACTTCTATAATTGAGGTGAGCAGCATTAAACTGATTATCTTATGGGGAATACTGGCTCAACGATGAATTTAAATGTATTTTGGAGCTCATTTAATGAGACATTAAAACCTAATGTTGTGATACTAAAACTACAAAGTACCATTAGAAAAAAAAAAGAGAGACAGCTTGGATCTGGAGAGAGGGCTCAGTGAGGGCTCACATACTACTCTTTAGTGGCCCTGAGTTCAATACCCAGCAACCGTGGTGGGCAGCTCATAACTGCCTATAACCTCAGCTCCTAGGGGATCGCACCACCTTTGGCTTTCCTGTATATCTGCACTTATGTGCACATACCCCCACACATATATGCACATAATTTAAAAAAATCTTAAAAATATAAAAAAAGGACAGCTTGGAGGCTGGAGAGATGGCTCAATGGTTAAGAACACTTATTGCTCTTCCAGAGGACCTGGATTTGGCTCTCATCACCCAAATGGTGACTAGTACCCATCCTTAATTCTAGTTCCAGGGAATCTGATGCTCTCTTCTGATCTCTGTGGGCAGCAGGCATGTACATTGTACACTCACATACATGTAGGAAAAACACATAAAAACAAAATTAAAAAATGAGACAGCTTCTCACTATATATCCCTGCTGGGTTTGCATCTTGATATGTAGACCAGGGGGGCCTCAAACTTGTGATCTTCCTGCCACTGCTTCTCTTTAGTGCTAGGATTACATGCATGTGCTCCTAACAACATGGCAACACCCCCCCCCCTTTGGATTTGTTTCTTTTTATTTTACGATGTGTATGAGTTTTTGCATGCATGTATGTAAGTGCACCCATATTGTTCAAAGCCCATGGAAAGCAGCAGAGTGTGTTGGATTCCCAGGAATTGGAATTATGATGGATGGTTGTTAGCTACCATATAGGTGTTAGGAATTGAACCCAAGTTCAATCTCTGGAAGAGCAGCCAGTGCTCTTAACCGAAGAGCCGTTTCTCCAGTCCACAACATTTTTTTTTTTTAAATCAATTGCAGTAGCTTTAGGATTGGATTTCATTTGTTAAAGCCTTTTATTGTCAGATAGATGCATTCCTTGACTGACTTTTCTCCTGCAGCTGCTTCTGAAAGACTAAAACAAAACTAAGATGGAAAAACTTAAACACTAAAGGGCACATGGTAATTTTCTAAATGGTTTAAAGAAAAAAAAAGTCATTACATTCAACAAGAATATAAAATATTTTGGAGCCCCCAGGTCAAGGTTTAGATCTTAATTTAGTACTAGGAAGGTCCCTGAAGTAAAAATGTTTTATTCTGAGTTTACCTTCTAAGCCTTGATAACTGAATTTAACATTGGTCTCAGAAATGGCCAAATTAATAGTCTTTAAAAAGTTTTTATTATTTTAATTTTATGTGTATGAGTGTTTTGCCTGCAGGTATATAAGTGCACCACATGTGTGCAATGCCCACAGGCCAGAGAGGGTGGCAGATCACCTGGACCTAGAGTTACAGATGGTTGTTAGCCAACATGTGGGTGCTGGGAACTGAGCCTGGGTCCTCTGGAAGAGCATCCAGTGCTCTTAACCACTGAGCCATCTCTCTAGCCTCAACCAAATAATAGACTTTTTTTAAGTGGACAGTACTGAATAAATTCAAATATGAAGGGTATTAGAAAAAAACAGGATTTCCTAGTTCTTAGAGGTGCATCTATGATGCTGTTAACTTGTGTTTATGTAGGCTAGTTTATGCATAGAGTATCCTGGAGAAACTATAATATTATATATTTTAAGCTTTTGATCCCTACAAATCCTTTTCAAATTGGTTACATTCAGTTTATGATGCCATTATCCTGCTAGTTAGAAGAAATTCATTTTTGTTTGCACTTTTTTGAATATTCTTTTTTAAAAATTTTA